CTTTTGCATCCTCATCTCCAATGCAGGGCTATGCACTGGTCTTGATGATAACAGGACCTTAGACCACCAGAACATTGTAGTGCAGTGTTTCTCAACCTTCTTTCAGTCAAGGCACCCTTTAAAATTATGGCTAGTCCCGAGGCACCCTTTAAGATAATGGATAGTCTTGAGGCACCCTTTAAAGGGTGCATCGGGACTGTCCATAATTTTAAAGGGTGCCTCAAGACTATCCATTATCTTAAAGGGTGCATCGGGACTGTCCATAATTTTAAGATAATGGATAGTCTTGAGGCACCCTTTAATATAATGGACAGTCTTGAGGCATCCTTTAAGATAATGGACAGTCTTGAGGCACCCTTTAAAATTATGAACAGTCCCAAGGCACCCTTTAAGATAATGGACAGTCTTGAGGCACCCTTTAAGATAATGGACAGTCTTGAGGCACCCTTTAAGATAATGGACAGTCTTGAGGCACCCTTTAAAATTATGGACAGTCCCGATGCACCCTTTAAAATAATGGCACACAATTCTAAAATGTGAAAAACTATTCTAACAGCTTTATATAACGCAGCAACATCCACACATGTAGAACACCCACCATTAGAGGTGATTTATTCTTCCAAAGCAAATACACGTTTGCACACTGGTACTGACTAGTATTCCGATGTTTCTCCTCTCCCTCAGTTTTTCTCCATCACTGAGCTAATGTGACCCCAGCACTGATGGAGAGGGGCAGGGGAGGGTCAAACTAGGATACTGTGCAGGCAGCTCAAATTGGATCTGGTTAGGGTTGCCACCTCATCCCTTTAAAACCGAACACATATTAATTACACAGGTTCCGGGGCAAATTTAATGAGGATAAGGCACTAGGTGAGTTTAATTAGCACCGTAATCAGCCCCAGAACCTGTGTAATGACTATGTGTTCAGTTTTAAAGGGATGAGGTGGCAACCCTAGATCTGGTACCCTCCCACAGTAGCTTTTATTTCTAGACACTAAGGTAAGGGAGGTAATTTCCCACTGAACACCAATGCTAGGGGGCAGTTTTACAATGACCACCAATATAAGGGGTTACATCTACAGTGACCACTAAAGCAACAGGACAATTTTCCACTGGCCACCAATGCTAGGAGGCAATTTTCCACTGGCCACCAATGCTAGGAGGCAATTTTCCACTGGCCACCAATGGTAGGAGGCAATTTTCCACTGGCCCCCAATGCTAGGAGGCAATTTTCCACTGGCCACCAATGCTAGGAGGCAATTTTCCACTGGCCACCAATGCTAAGAGGCAATTTTCCACTGGCCACCAATGCTAGGAGGCAATTTTACAATGGACCACCAATGCTAAGAGGCAATTTTACTGACCACCAATGTAAGATATAGGCAATTTTCCACTGGCCACTGCTTAGGCAATTTTTCATGGCCACCAATGCTAGGAGGCAACTTTACAATGACCACCAATGTAAGTGGTCAATTCTATACTGACCACTAATGTTAGGATATACCACATTTTTTATGTTTGCATTTCTTTTTATGTTACATATACTCATTTCTAAACGCGTACTGAAAATATTTTGTTGTACATATCCGGGAGGACTGTTTAACAGATCTGCCTGGGGTGTCCAATACTGTCTAGATGGACCACATTCTTTAGTTTTCTGTTTAACACCTCAAGCCAGACTTTGAAATTGTGCGACTTCACTGTAAGTCACACGATTTCAAAGTCGGGGGACATGCCGATTTGAGGTGCGATTTGCATAGACATATGTGTCAGATGTTTATGCAAATCGCACCTCAAATCGGCATGTCCCCCGACTTTGTAATCGCACCAAAAGTAGTGCATGCAGTTGCACAATTTCAAAGTTGGGGGACACACCGATTTCCAGGGCGGTTTGCAAGACATCTGACACAGGTGTCTATGCAAATCACACCAAAATGATGTATGCACTACTTTAGAGATCAGTGCGCGGCTCCGACCAAGTTGGAGGGGGGGGGGTCTGGTGTTGGTCAGTGTCTGGCTCTCTCCATGGGTGGGGGGGGCCAAGTGTTGGTCGGTGTCAGGCTGTCTTTGCCGGAGAGGGGGGGGGCATCCAATTTCTGTGTTGCCTAGGGCAGTACAAAACCTAAATACGCCACTGGTCGTATGGCATGCAAATCGCATGCCAAGTTGCACCCGATGTGACCGTGGTGTTAGGCTACATGTACACGACCCTGACCGCAGGCCGTGGGAAATCACAAATAGCGGCAATCGGGGTACTGCGATTTTGCCGCGTTTTGCCTTTTCCCATGGATGGCGGTCATAACGTTCCTATCCTGAACACGATTCTTCTGCGTTCAGGAGAGGGAGGTAAACCTCACAAACATGGCAGCACCCTTCTAAAAGCCTGTGTACATGGACACCTAGGCTTTTATGGAGTTGAGTTTAGGAGGTTAAGCAAAAAAAATGCCAAAAGCTCCTAAACTAGAGTTTAGCAGCTGCTCGTGTACATGAGCCCTAAAACTTCCTACAACTTACAGATCATGACAATGTATCATAAGTTCCAATTAAATAAAAAAAATGTTTAGCTGGGTTTCACCAAGACCCGAGAATTCTGCACACGGGACATTTGGAAAACTCTTCTGAACGATGGAAACTGACTGCTGGAAAACGTAGGTTAAAAAAACATCAGTTTAGCCGCGTTTGCATACCGTGTTTATTTGCGCTTAGAAGCGTTTTTAAAAGATAACCTCAGGAGACCTTCCAAAATGTCCAGAATGAACTGAGAAACAGTAACAAATGAACAATTTCAGACATTTTGAGAGAAATAGAGAGAGCAGAAGCAGAGAGAGCAGTATGTGTTGAGATGACCTGTCTTTTCTGGTTGTATTCACTATGGATCCCATCATGAGCATAATGCATCGCGTTCTGCCATTTTTTCCTTCACGCGAAACCTGGAACTGACTGCGCTGGTGTACCGGGTCCATTTGAATACATGGAAAACGCTTTGCATGCATTTCTGATGATGAAAAAAGGCTCTGGACAGCATCTGGACATGGAACAGTTAAAACGCTTCTAAACGCAAATGCGTATAAACACGGTTAACCACGTTTACACGCATTTACAAGTGTTTGAAATGCCGGTAAAATCTACTCCTGAACACAAGTTTAGTGCGTTCAAAAATGTCTGTAAACTCAACTGCCTGTAAAGGACGATGTGTACATGGACACATAGGAGAACATTAGGGAGAGTTCAGGGGCTGCTGAAAAAAACAGCACGTTCTACCATTTTTTCCTTCACGCGAAACCTGGAACTGACTGCGCTGGTGTACCGGGTCCATTTGAATACAGGAAAAACGCTTTGCATGTATTTCTGATGATGAAAAAAGGCTCCGGACAGCATCTGGATATGGAACAGTTAAAAAACGCTTATAAACGCAAACGCGTATAAACACGGTTAACTGCGTTTACAAACGTTTGCCATTTGAAACTCCAGTAAAATCTACTCCTGAATGCAATTTTGGTGCGTTCAAAAAAAAAAAGCTGTAAACTCAACTGCCTGTAAATGAAGATGTGTACATGGACACAGAAAAACATTAGGGAGAGTTCAGGGGCTGCTGAAAAAAAAATGCTCAACCGCTCCTGAGCGTCAGTTTAGCAGCTGCAGTGTACAAGAGCCCTAAGGCTTCATGCACACGGGGCTTTTTAATAACGCTGGTAACGTTAGCTATGTAAAGTTGCGTTAAAAACCTGTGTTTTTCAGCGTTTTTGCATTAGCGTTTAGCTGCGTTTTGCAGCATTTTTTGGCATTCACGTTATTTAGCTTTTTTTTTTACCGCGTTTTGCCATGTTTTTCAGCATTAGAGCGTTTTTACAGCTAAAAAACTCCTCTAGAAACCCACTAGTCCTGGGGTTTTTTTCCAGCTAAAGAACGTCCCTGCCAAAAAACGTTGATTCCAGTCTATGTGTGTATGGACACATAGGATAACATGCCGGGGATGGACACATAGGAGAACATGCCGGGGATGGACACATAGGATAACATGCCGGGGATGGACACATAGGATGACATGCCGGGGATGGACACATATGATAACATGCTGGGGATGGACACGTAGGATAACACGCCGGGGATGGACACGTAGAATAACACGCCGGGGATGGACACATAGGATAACATGCCGGGGATGGACACGTAGGATAACACGCCGGGGATGGACACGTAGGATAACACGCCGGGGATGGACACGTAGGATAACACGCCGGGGATGGACACATAGGATAACATGCCGGGGATGGACACATAGGATAACACGCCGGGGATGGACACATAGGATGACATGCCGGGGATGGACACATAGGATAACATGCCGGGGATGGGCACATAGGATAACATGCCGGGGATGGACACATAGGATAACATGCCGGGGATGGACACATAGGATAACATGCCGGGGATGGACACATAGGATAACATGCCGGGGATGGACACATAGGATAACATGCCAGGGATGGACACATAGGATAACATGCTGGGGATGGACACGTAGGATAACACGCCGGGGATGGACACGTTACCTGTGTAAAGTTGCGTTAAAAACCTGAGTTTTTCAGCGTTTTTTGCATTAGCGTTTAGCTGCGTTTTGCAGCATTTTTTGGCATTCACGTTATTTAGCTTTTTTTTGCCATGTTTTTCAGCATTAGAGCGTTTTTTTACAGCTAAAAAACTCCTCTAGAAACCCACTAGTCCTGGGGTTTTTTTCCAGCTAAAGAACGTCCCTGCCAAAAAACGTTGATTCCAGTCTATGTGTGTATGGACACATAGGATAACATGCCGGGGATGGACACATAGGAGAACATGCCGGGATGGACACATAGGATAACATGCCGGGGATGGACACATAGGATAACATGCCGGGGATGGACACATAAGATGACATGCCGGGGATGGACACATAGGATAACATGCCGGGGATGGACACATATGATAACATGCCGGGGATGGACACATAGGATAACATGCGGGGATGGACACGTAGGATAACATGCCGGGGATGGACACGTAGGATAACATGCCGGGGATGGACACATAGGATAACATGCTGGGGATGGACACGTAGGATAACACGCCGGGGATGGACACGTTACCTGTGTAAAGTTGCGTTAAAAACCTGAGTTTTTCAGCGTTTTTGCATTAGCGTTTAGCTGCGTTTTGCAGCATTTTTTGGCATTCACGTTATTTAGCTTTTTTTGCCATGTTTTTCAGCATTAGAGCGTTTTTACAGCTAAAAAACTCCTCTAGAAACCCACTAGTCCTGGGGTTTTTTTTCCAGCTAAAGAACGTCCCTGCCAAAAAACGTTGATTCCAGTCTATGTGTGTATGGACACATAGGATAACATGCCGGGGATGGACACATAGGAGAACATGCCGGGGATGGACACATAGGATAACATGCCGGGGATGGACACATAGGAGAACATGCCGGGGATGGACACATAGGATAACATGCCGGGGATGGACACATAGGAGAACATGCCGGGGATGGACACATAGGATAACATGCCGGGGATGGACACATAGGATAACATGCCGGGGAAGGACACATAGGATGACATGCCGGGGATGGACACATAGGATAACATGCCGGGGATGGACACATATGATAACATGCCGGGGATGGACACATAGGATAACATGCCGGGGATGGACACGTAGGATAACATGCCGGGGATGGACACGTAGGATAACATGCCGGGGATGGACACATAGGATAACATGCCGGGGATGGACACATAGGATGACATGCCGGGATGGACACATAGGATAACATGCCGGGGATGGACACATATGATAACATGCCGGGGATGGACACATAGGATAACATGCCGGGGATGGACACGTAGGATAACATGCCGGGGATGGACACATAGGATAACATGCCGGGGATGGACACGTAGGATAACACGCCGGGGATGGACACGTAGAATAACACGCCGGGGATGGACACATAGGATAACACGCCGGGGATGGACACATAGGATAACACGCCGGGGATGGGCACATAGGATAACATGCCGGGGATGGACACATAGGATAACACGCCGGGGATGGGCACATAGGATAACATGCCGGGGATGGACACATAGGATAACATGCCGGGGATGGACACATAGGAGAACATGCCGGGGATGGACACATAGGATAACATGCTGGGGATGGACACGTAGGATAACACGCCGGGGATGGACACGTTACCTGTGTAAAGTTGCGTTAAAAACCTGAGTTTTTTTTCAGCGTTTTTGCATTAGCGTTTAGCTGCGTTTTGCAGCATTTTTTTGCATTCACGTTATTTAGCTTTTTTACCGCGGTTTTACCGCGTTTTGCCATGTTTTTCAGCATTAGAGCGTTTTTACAGCTAAAAAAACTCCTCTAGAAACCCACTAGTCCTGGGGTTTTTTTCCAGCTAAAGAACGTCCCTGCCTATGTGTCCCCTGACACATAGGATGACATGCCGGGGATGGACACATAGGATGACATGCTGGGGGGTTTGCTGGCTGTAGAAAAAAAATGTCAAAAGCCAAAAACAGCCACTGTAAAAACGTCCCGTGTGGTTCCTCGGGGGTAAACAAACATTGAGAGTCTAAAATGTTTAAAATATTATAACCCAATAAGAAAGTTGACTGCTACTGCGGACATTTCCTTTCTATATTTTTTACTATTATTATTATTATTTCAGGTACTTATATAGCGCCGTCAATTTACGCAGCACTTTGCTATACTAATGACCCTTTAGCGATCATAGGTATCCTGTGCATACATATAACACTCTCTGTTCTTGTAGGATTCAGGAGCTGCCCCTCCTTAAATATGCGCAGAAGAATCAGACACGGGCTCTAAAGAAACTGCTGGCTTTGGAGACCACCGACCCACTAATACGAGGTAAGTACTTCACTCTGGTTATTTAGTAAGACCACAAAAGTTGCACCCATAGCAATCTACTAAGAGCAATAATTCACAGCTAGGTGTATTATTATATTATTATTATTATACAGGATTTATATAGCGCCAACAGTTTGCACTTTACAATATAACGGAAGACAATACAGCAACAATACAGTTCAATACAAGAGGGATAGGAGGGTCCTGATTATTATTATTATACAGTATTTATAAAGCGCCAATAGTTCGCTCAGCGCTGTACATTACAAAGGGGGACAGAACATGTGACAGAACAATACCAATACAATGCAAAACATGAGGGGATTGAGGGCCCTGCTCCTTGGAGCTTACAATCTAGGAGGGAGGGGATGGTGGTACAGGAGGAGATAGCTGTGGGGGATGGAGTGGTAGTAGGAAGAGTGGAGGAGGTCGGCAAGTTAGCAGGGGGTGGGGTAGGCTTCCCTGAAGAGATGGGTTTTCAGGGTGCGCCTAAAGGAGAGTAGAGTAGGTGATAATCTGATGGGTTGGGGCAGGGAGTTCCAGAGGATGGGTGACACCCTGGAGAAGTCCTGGAGGCGGGCATGGGAGGAGGAGACCAGGGAACTAGAGATCCTGGGAGCTTACAATCTAGGAGTACAGTATGTGTGTGATCACATCAGTGAAAACGGATTTCAAAGGCTGAGTTTACACTTACCCATTCTCTGAAATGCGATCTGCAGTGTACAACTTACCCACATGGAAGAAAAATATATTTTAAAATATATTATAAAAATATTATTCTTCCCAAATATATTGACAAATATTTGAAATACTACAATTTTGGCCATATTCAATATATTTAAAAACATATTTCAATAAATATATATATTCTGTATGTTGAATGCATTTTTATTACTAAATATATGAAACATATTTTTAAAAATACATTTTATATTGATTGTATGTCTTTGAAGATACATTCAATCTACAATTTTGGAATGCAGTTACAAATATATGTAAAAATATATGTTTAAAATGACTTTTTTATATGTTAAAAACAATCTGAAGAATATATTTAAAAAAAAATATATATTCTTTTAAAATATTGTTCATATATTTTGTAATAAATTAAAAAATCACATTTCAAAATGCAGTATATATATATATATATATATATATATATATATATATATATAAACATATATTTAGAAATATTTAAAAAAATATATACATATATTTTTATATGTATATATTTTTATATTTTATATTGTATATTTGTATATTTTAATATAAATATATTTTTATATATTTTAAACTTATTTTTTTAAATATTTTTCATATATTTAGTAATAAAAACGCATTTCAACATACAGTATTTATATATCTATCTATCTATGTATATATATATATATATTTTTTTTTTTTTTTTTTTTTTTTTAAATATATTGAATATGGCCAAAGTTGTAGTATTTCAAATATATGACAATGTGTGGCAAATGCAGCAAAATGCGCCTATAAATATTGCACTAGCCTTGCCACCCAAAAAGGAACAGGGCGACCAAAGCACATAGATTAGCCCCTTGAAGTGAATGGGCTGCCCTATGCCTGACACGAAAAATCACATGATAATCGCTCAACAAAAATTTTGAGTATGAACGCTTGTTCCCTCTACATGATATGGGAATAGGACCTCATGTATTGAAAATTAAAGATTGGTTGCCATACATAGCTTTTCCAGGTTCTGTCTCCTCCAGACTTGATACAGTATGTTTCCCTCACTGCCTCACAATGATGGACTTTCTTTTAGGTGCCCTTGGAGAGACTGCGCTACATCTCGCCACACTCCACAATAACCTGGAGTCTGTGAAGATTCTGCTGGAAACACACGCCAGGACTCGTCAACCAGCCCATGACTTCCGACCTCTACAAAGGTAATTAAAGGAACCGTTACAGGTACATTTAAGTCAGAATTTAAAAATTAAAACCTTGAACTGAACACTTGAAGCATTCCCTACTGGAACTGTAGCTGCCTTTTTTTTTTATCCCGACATTGCTGTACTGCACAGGTTGACTATGCTGCCTTTTTGCCTGTAGTTTGGTGATCCTGGAACATGCCTGCTGGGGATGATGGATCACCATCATCATTGTTGCCTCTTATCCACAGTCTGATGTTAAAAACATGAGGTGTGTGTTTATTATGCAAGGGACTATACAAGATTTTAAATAATGACCCTATCATGGTTTTACATAAAATTCTTTCTTTATTATGGTTAGAACAAACAAAAGCTGTACTGTACAGATTTTTTACATTTTTTTTTTACAATCAATTCAAAATTGCACATTGTTATTATTTAGTCTTCTATTTAAAAAGTAGTGGTAGCTTTACTCCTTAACTACTGCTGCAAAAAGCATAATGGTTAAAGGATCACTCCACTTTTGTAAAAAAAACATAAAAAAATAGCAAATTAAAAAAAAAAGTGTATTATATTATACTTTTAAAAACATTAAAGAGACACTTTTTAATCAGAGTATAGCATCAAGTCATTGAAACTCCTTGGATATTGATCTGGTCAGGTAAGTAGCAGAGGGGGTTGTTAATCAGTTTCAGCTACTATTGGGTCAATGAAAATAACAACAGGTGCACTAGATGGGCAACAATGAGACGACCCCCAAAAAACAGGAATTGTTTTACAGGTGGAGGTCAGTGACATTTTTTTCCCTACTCGTCTTTTATGCCTAGTTTTGCATTTGGCTAGGGTCAGTGTTACTACTGGTAGCATGAGGCGATACGTGGACTCTACAGAGGTTGCACAGGCAGTCCAACTCCTCCAGAATGGCACATCAATACGTGCCATTGCCAGAAGGTTTGCTGTGTCTCCCAGCACAGTCTCAAGAGCATGGAGGAGATTCCAGGAGACAGGCAGTTACTCTAGGAGAGCTGGACAGGGCCGTAGAAGGTCCTTAACCCATCAGCAGGACCGATATCTGCTCCTTTGTGCAAGGAGGAACAGGATGAGCACTGCCAGAGCCCTACAAAAATGACCTCCAGCAGGACACTGGTGTGAATGTCTCTGACCAAACAATCAGAAACAGACTTCATGAGGGTGGCCTGAAGGCCCAATGTCCTCTAGTGGGCCCTGTGCTCACTGCCCGGCACCATAGAGCTCGATTGGCATTTGCCATTGAACACCAGAATTGGCAGGTCCGCCACTGGCTCCCTGTGCTTTTCACAGATGAGAACAGGTTCACCCTGAGCACATGTTACAGATGTGAAAAGGGTCTGGAGAAGGCGTGGAGAACGTTCTGCTGCCTGTAACATGGTTCAGCATGACCGTTTTGGTGGTGGGTCAGTGATGGTCTGGGGAGGCATATCCATGGAGGGACGCACAGACCTCTACAGGCTAGACAATGGCACCCTGACTGCCATTAGGTATCGGGATGAAATCCTTGGACCCATTGTCAGACCCTACGCTGGTGCAGTGGGTCCTGGGTTCCTCCTGGTGCATGACAATGCCTGGCCTCATGTGGGGAGAGTATGCAGGCTGTTCCTGGAGGATGAAGAAATTGATACCATTGAATGGCCCCCACGCTCCCCTGAACTAAATCCAATAGAACCCCTCTGGGATGTCATTTTTCGGTCCATCCGACGCTGCCAGGTTACACCTCAGACTGTCCAGGAGGAGCTCTGTGAGGCCCTGGTCCAGATCTGAGAGGAAATCCCCCAGGACACCATCCGTCGTCTCATTAGGAGCCCCCCCCCCCCGACGTTGTCAGGCATGCATACAAGCACATGGGGGCCACACAAACTACTGAGGACCATTCTGAGTTGCTGCAATGACATTTCAGCCAAATGGACTCGCCTGCTGCATCATTTTTTCACTTTGATTTTCGGGGTGTCTTTGAATTCAGTCCTCTGTAGGTCGATCATTTTCATTTCCATCAAACGATGGGCCGTCCTTACATTCCTAATACATTACCCCGTCCATGTCAGTATAGAGATACA